TGAGGATCTAAGACTTGAAGAAGAACAACCACGGGAAGGATCTAAGGACTTGAGAGAACAACCACGGGGACCTGAGGATCTAAGACTTGAAGAAGAACAACCACGGGACCTGAGGATCTAAGACTTGAAGAGGAACAACCACGGGGACCTGAGGATCTAAGACTTGAAGAAGAACAACCACAGGGGACCTGAGGATCTAAGACTTGAAGAAGGGACCTGACAAGACTTGAAGAACAACCACGGGACCTGAGGATCTAAGACTGAAGACTTGAAGAAGAACAACCACAACCACGGGGACCTGAGGATCTAAGACTTGAAGAAGAACAACCACGGGGACCTGAGGATCTAAGATTGAGAAGAACAACTTGAGGATCTAAGACTGAAGAACAACCACAGGGACCTGAGGATCTAAGACTTGAAGAGAACAACAACCACGGGGACCTGAGGATCTAAGACTTGAAGAAGAACAACCACAGGGACCTGAGGATCTAAGACTTGAAGAAGAACAACCACAGGGACCTGAGGATCTAAGACTTGAAGAGGAACAGTCTTTCTTGTCACATTTCAGAACTTTAAACCCCGTACGAGAACCTCCCGCCGCCTTAGACCCAGATAAGACTCTTCCTCGTGACGTTCTGCTGCTGTTTTGGTTTCTTTTTTGTGTCAGTAAAATAAATCTGTGACGTACCGTTGACCGTGAGCGTGACCTCGGTCTCTCCCACGCCGATCCTGGGCACGATGGCTTTGCACACGTACTGGCCCGCGTCCGCCTGGCTCACCGACTTCAGGTGCAGCTGGTTACTGTTACTCAGAACCTGAAATCACAACGCGCAACTCCGTAAACGCACGTCGTGTGAGCTTAATGCCACACTGCGGAACATTTCAGGTAAAGTCATATTTTCTCCTCGGATACAAGCGTGACGGATCCTCCAAGTAAAAGGTGACAGGAACAAGACCCGCTGACCTGAACTGGACTGACACGAGCTGACAGGAAAAAATATATATATATGACGAAGGAATAGACTAGAACTAAACCAGGACTAAATCAGGACTAAACCAGGATTAAACCTGAACTAAACCAGGTCTAAATTAGAACTAAACCAGGTCTAAACTAGAACTAAACCAGGACAAGTCCAGGTAGAACATAAGACTAAATCAGGACCAAACCAGGACTAAACCAGAACTAGACCTTGTATAAACTAGGAACTAAACCAGGTCTAAATTAGAACTAAACCAGGTCTAAACCAGGACTAAAGCAGAGTTGAACCAGGACAGAATCAGGACTAAACTAGGTCTAAACCAGGACTGAGCTGAAGACTAAAACCAGGACTAAACCAGGTCTAAAATAGGTCTAAATCAGGACTGAACCAGGCCTAAACCAGCCCTAACCAGGACTAAAACAGAACTAGACCTTGTATAAACTAGGAATTCAACCAGGTCTAAACCAGGACTAAAGCAGGACTAAACTAGAACTAAACCAGGTATAAATTAGAACTAAACCAGAACTAAACCAGGACCAAATCAGGACGAAACCAGAACTAAACCAGGTCTAAAACAGAATGAAACCAGGTCTAAACTAGAACTAAACCAAAACAAACCAAGCCTAAACGAAGTCTAAAGCAGGACTAAACCAGAACTAGACCTTGTATAAACTAGGAACTAAACCAGGACTAAATCAGGACTGAACCAGGTCTAAACTAGAACTAAACCAGGATTAATCAGATCTAAACCAGATCTAAATTAGAACTAAACCAGGTCTAAACCAGGACTAAAGCAGGACTAAACTAGAACTAAACCAGGACTAAAGCAGGACTAAACTAGAACTAAACCAGGACTAAAGCAGGCCTAAACTAGAACTAAACCAGGTATAAATTAGGACTAAACCAGAACTAAACTAGAACTAAACCACGTCTAAAACAGAACTAAAACAAGATTAAACCAGATGTAAACCAGAACTAAACCAAAACAAACCAAGCCTAAACGAAGTCTAAAGCAGGACTAAACCAGGTCAAAATCGGGTCCAAACCAGAACTAACCCAGGACTAACCCCGGTGTTTACAGAATGAGTCCTCACCATGTTGGAGCCCTTCTTGAACCAGGTGAGGGTGAGGGGAGGGTTTCCGGCCCATTTACAGTTGAGGGTCACGTCCGAGTCCACGTCCACGGTCTTGGGCTGAGGCTCCACCAGGAGGATGGGACCGACTGTACACAAACAAACAAACAAACAAACATTTACACAAAGAATTACACAAATATTTACACAAACTTTACACAAACTTTACACATTTACACAAATTTTACACAAACTTTACACAAACATTTACACATTTACACAAACATTTACACAAACTTTACACAAACACAAACATTTACACAAACATTTACACAAACATTTACACAAACATTTACACAAACATTTACACAAACTTTTACACAAACATTTACACATTTACACAAACATTTACACATACAAAATTTTTACACAAACATTTACACAAACTTTTAAACTTTTAACACTGTTGGGCAGGTGACTTTAAAACTGTAATGTGTTATTTATGATTTGTTTCTGTCATTTCAAAGTCATTCGTTACGTTATAATATTACTGTGTTTAAAATTTTAAATATTACACGACTATTACAGAACTTTAATTTACTCTCAACAAAATAACTGTGAATATGCTGAACTTTTGCGCCGAATATGGACTAAACCAGGACTAAACCAGGACTGAAACTGAACCAAGGAACCAGGATTAAATCAGAGTTGAACCAGGACAGAATCAGGACTAAACTAGGTCTAAACCAGGACTGAGCTGAAGACTAAACCAGGACTAAACCAGGTCTAAAATAGGTCTAACCAGGACTGAACCAGGCCTAAACCAGGCCTAAAACTGAAACTAACCAGGTCTTAAACCAGGACTAAACCAGGTCTAAACTAGGTCTAAATCAGGACTAAACTAGGACTAAACTAGAGCTGAACCAGGACTGAACCAGGTTTAAACCAAAACTAAACCAGGACCAAACCAAGACCAAACCAGGACTAATCTTGGACTAGAACTTGGAAGCTCCTTGCAGACAGGGTTTTTGCAAAGCGCGATCGGGCGTCAGCTGCGGTTCGCCTCGTGGAGCTCGGAGTTCTGCGTCGGTCCTTTCGCCTTTCGCGGTCACCTGACGGTCTACACGGGCGCGTCTCCACCGTTTTGATGTCGCGGTGATTTTAGCGAATTTGCATGAAGAAAAATGAAAAACCCACCACTTCAATCTAGGTTAAAAATGCTTTGTGACGCTCGTTACTCACATTTGTACCGAGTAAAATATTAACATTTTTTCAATTTCAATTTTTTTTAACAATTTAAACATTTAACAAAGCACAAATTTGAGTTTTAAAACCTTCTAAACCCCTGACACGAGTCCTGAGCCGTGACGTTTCTCATATTTGCTGTAAAATCTCCGCACGACGCTGCTCACTGACTCCGGGAATGAAACAAAAGGGCCGCGCGACTCTGGAAATGTAAATTCAGATTTGTTTTTGACAGTTATTGCCCCCGTGAGGAGATATATTTTGTCGTTCATCAATAGTTATTTGCGTGAGCGTTACGACTCTGGAGAATATTAAAGCGCACTTCACGGCCGCTGGGTTTTACGGCGACAACACCCGGAGGAGAAACTTTTAGTCGTCTGCAGAGAGTCGCTCGTCTTCTAAATAACGGCATCCTTTGTGATTAGATAAAGCCGGAAAACACAATAAAACTGGACTATTACATTCATACAATACGACCTGTTTGGAGGAGATTAGGACACGACCGATATATCGGTTGATCGAAATGGACACTCAGGGACATATCAGCTATAGGTCTAATATTTCACCAATTTTTCATGTGGGCAGATTTTACCTCGTTAGGAAGCTTTGACTCTCTATATTATGTTTATTTAAAGACAGATAAATGTCTAAATATGTGACGCCGCATTCATATTTTTCTACGGAGTCTTTTGTCTGAGTCTCTAACACCGTACTGTCCCTGAACGCACCACCAGAGTCACGTCACTAATGTGTTTTTGTTTACACCAGTGCACAAAACTGAGGAGCTGCTTTTAATGTTCTAATGTTTTAAATGTGTCTGTGAACTTCAGAGCAGTTTAGGACAAAAACAAAGGGGGACTGTCCCACACACGGAGGACTGTCCCACAGGTAGAGGACTGTCCCGCAGATAAAGGACTGTCCCGCAGATAAAGGACTGTCCCGCAGGTAGAGAACTGTCCCGCAGGTAGAGAACTGTCCCGCAGATAGAGGACTGTCCTGTAGATAAAGGACTGTTCCGCAGGTAGAGAATTGTCCCGCAGGTAGAGGAGGACTGTCCCGCAGATAAAGGACTGTCCCGTAGATTAAGGACTGTCCCGCTGATAAAGGACTGTCCCCACAGATAAAGGACTGTCCCACAGGTGGAGGACTGTCCCGCAGGTAGAGGACTGTCCCGCAGATAAAGGACTGTCCCGTAGATTAAGGACTGTCCCGCTGATAAAGGACTGTCCCCACAGATAAAGGACTGTCCCACAGGTGGAGGACTGTCCCGCAGGTAGAGGACTGTCCTGTAGATAAAGGACTGTCCCCCAGGTAGAGGACTGTCCCGCGGGTAGAGGACTGTCCCACACACAGAGGACTGTCCCGCAGGTAGAGGACTGTCCTGTAGATAAAGGACTGTCCCCCGGGTAGAGGACTGTCCCACACACAGAGGACTGTCCCACAGGTAGAGGGCTGTCCCGCGGGTAGAGGACTGTCCCACACACAGAGGACTGTCCCACAGGTAGAGGACTGTCCCGCAGGTAGAGGACTGTCCCGCAGACAGAGGACTGTCCCGTAGATAGAGGACTGTCCCATAGATAAAAGACTGTCCCATAGATAAAAGACTGTCCCACAGATAAAGGACTGTCCAGCAGATAGAGGACTGTCCCACAGATGGAGGACTGTCCCACAGGTAGAGGACTGTCCCACAGGTAGAGGACTGTCCCACAGATAGAGGACTGTCCCGCAGATAGAGGACTGTCCCGCAGATAGAGGACTGTCCCGCAGATAGAGGACTGTCCCGCAGATAGAGGACTGTCCCACAGATAAAGGACTGTCCCGCAGACCGAGGACACACACAGCTGCTGTCCACATGCCGGATTATTTTCTTTTCACAGATGATTGTTTTGAGTCAAAATTAACAGGACACTTATTAGTTCAGACTTGTGATCCGAGAGGAGCCTGTGAATGTTGTAAATGTGTCAGTTTTAGGTCGACTTTCGGCCGACTCTGTCTTTAATTATGATGTAAACAATAAATGTCGATTAAATAACCCCAATTTAAAATCCACTAGAGCCAGACCTAAGTTTTATAATCAGGGGAACATCGGTTTTGGTGGAAGAGGAGCCAAAAATTATACTTCAAAATAAAGTATGTAACTCAAGTGGAAGTACAAAGTAACGGTCCAAGAAATTACTCAATTAAAGGTGTAAGTTTTCTGGTTGGTGGTCCGTCACCTGCGTGTTTCTATAGTTACGTCATTGCTCTGTCTGGAATGTTCCACAGTGTGACATTAAACAGCTCCACTTTACATTTAATCAATTACAGATGTTTTTATAGCTCAAAAATATCTAGAAACTATAGGTGTGCAAAAATATTGAAATATCGATATATCGTTTCATTTAATATAATGATACAGTATCGATATCGGGGGCTGCTCTATCAATATATCGCCAACAGTATTTTTTTTGTATATTTTACTGCTTTTTCAGAGGAAGGAAACTCGTTTATGCGACACATTTGACATTTTCACTGTTTTGACGATTAAAATGTTTATGTTTCATATGAACTTTGCACAAAACGTGGTTTAACAAAGACTTTTAGTATCACAGCCACGATTTAGCCTTTATTTTTTAGTGAACAGTATCAAATCGATTCAAAATATATCGTATCGAATCAAAAGCTCACTGTACGGAGATATGTATCGTATCGTGGCCTATGTATCGAGGTATGTATTGTATCGGTAACTTCTTAATGATACCAGCCCTACTAGAAACTGGATGATTTTAGCCCTGGAATTGCCGATCTTTACTGAATTCAACTGGTCAACTGGACAAGAGTTTAGTTTTTTTTTAGTTTTTTGGTCAGTTATTTGCCATAAATTCTACCTGGACGACTGAGAGATTTTCCACAGATCTTGAGAACAACTACGAGTGAACGAGGTAACAACATTCTAACATTTACTTAAAGGTTGTATGGAGGATTTTTTTTGTTTCAAATTGTCAGTGATAGATTATAGATGCAGTCGCCTTGTAATTATGATGACCAAAAAAAAGAGAATAAAAATTCATCAACTCTGGACGTGGTGGGGCTAAACATTTGCCAATAGATAACGACACTGCCTCGTTATCTGTGAGCTGACAGGCTGTCAATCAAACTCCCTACGTTTCTAGAGTAACTGACTTGCCTGCGCCGCCGGTACGTGGTTTACGTACGACTGTCACGCAGTCCACAGACGCAAGACGCACAGACGCTGTTTACTCCACCAACGCAACAGTTCTTAGCGGCTTTTTTTGACCTATATCTTCCTCGCAGTTCGCACAAAGTTTGTTGCGATGGCGACAAGAATCCAGGAGCAGTTCGCCGCAAAAGAAAGTCCGTTTTTGAGGTCGCTGAAAGAAGAAGACAAGGGGAAAAGCAGCGAAGCCAAACTAAGGTGATTCTTGGAGAGAAGGGTCTAAAGACTGACGCACTGGTCCACAAATTACTCCTGGACAGGAAACTTCTGCTTATTATGAAAACGTACTTTATTTCCAAGAGCTACACAAACGTTTTTCAGGACACGAAAGCGATATCCTATGTCTGAAAACGTAATTTTCAAGGCAAAGAAAGAGTCCGCTTGCTGCTGCGTGTTGTAGTAGTAGCTTCATTCGCACTGAATCTCCGCGCACCCTTCTCTGCACCCCTTTCCTGCTCCTCTCCCCGCTCCCCGTTTCGCTCTTCCCCCCGCTCCTCACTTCTCCGTCTTGCCTAACCAACACTGTAGTTAGTTGTTTACAAGTCATGTGCAGCGGCTGTAAACAAACCTGTTTGTGGCGTAAGAAGGAGGCGGGAGGAGGCGTTTCTACGTAGGAGCATTTGAAAAGGACAAACAGTCGCTGGATTTCTCGTTCCTTGGAAAATCCTCTATACAACCTTTAAAGTTCACAAGAGTCGGTTTTGTGTAATACAGGACGTTTAATTGTCATGTTTGTCTCGTGTCTGGGCTCTGGTTTGCGTTCGTTCGCGGGACTCACAGTGCACGTCCACCAGGATGCTGACGTTGGTCTTGCCCACAGCGTTGAACACCAGACAGGACACGGGCTCGGTGAAGAAGGAGTGATCGGCTTTAGTGATGAAGACGCTCTCCCTCGCCCCCTGCAGGACGACGCCGCCCTTCGCCCACCTGAGACGAAAAAAACACATACAGCGTAAAGAATAAAAAAGTCCAGAGCGGGTTGCCATGTCTGCTCCTTTACAGCCAACCAGGTCTAAACCAGGACTAAACCAGGACTAAACCAGGTCTAAACCAGGACTAAACCAGGACTAAACCAGGTCTAAACTAGAACTAAACCAGGACTAAACCAGGTCTAAACCAGGTCTAAACCAGGACTAAACCAGGACTAAACCAGGACTAAACCAGGACTAAACCAGGACTAAACCAGGTCTAAACCAGGTCTAAACTAAACCAGGACTAAACCAGGTCTAAACCAGGACTAAACTAGAACTAAACCAAACCAGGACTAAACCAGGTCTAAACCAGTCTAAACCAGGTCTAAACCAGGACAGGACTAAACCAGGACTAAACCAGGACTAAACCAGTAAACCAGGTCTAAACCAGGTCTAAACCAGTCTAAACCAGGACTAAACCAGGACTAAACTAGAACTAAACCAGGACTAAACCAGGTCTAAACCAGGACTAAACTAGAACTAAACCAGGACTAAACCAGGTAAACCAGGTTCTAAACCAGGTCTAAACCAGGACTGAACCAGGACTAAACCAGGACTAAACCAGGACTAAACAGGACTGAACCAGGTCTAAACCAGCACTAAACTAGAACTAAACCAGGACTAAACTAGAACTAAACCAGGACTAAACCAGGTCTAAACCAGGACTAAACTAGAACTAAACCAGGACTAAACCAGGTCTAAACCAGGTCTAAACCAGGAATAAACTAGAACTAAACCAGGTCTAAACCAGGAATAAACTAGAACTAAACCAGGTCTAAACCAGGAATAAACTAGAACTAAACCAGGACTAAACCAGGACTAAACTAGAACTAAACCAGGTCTAAACCAGGAATAAACTAGAACTAAACCAGGACTAAACCAAGACTAAACTAGAACTAAACCAGGTCTAAACCAGGAATAAACTAGAACTAAACCAGGACTAAACCAGGTCTAAACCAGGAATAAACTAGAACTAAACTAGAACTAAACCAGGTCTAAACCAGGACTAAACCAGAACTAAACCAGGACTAAACCAGAACTAAACCAGGACTAAACTAGAACTAAACCAGGTCTAAACCAGGAATAATCTAAACTAAACCAGGACTAAACCAGGACTAAACTAGAACTAAACCAGGTCTAAACCAGGAATAAACTAGAACTAAACCAGGACTAAACCAGGTCTAAACCAGGAATAAACTAGAACTAAACTAGAACTAAACCAGGTCTAAACCAGGACTAAACCAGAACTAAACCAGGACTAAACCAGAACTAAACCAGGACTAAACCAGACTAAACCAGGACTAAACCAGAACTAAACCAGGAATAAACTAGAACTAAACCAGGTCTAAACCAGGAATAAACTAGAACTAAACCAGGACTAAACCAGAACTAACCATGACTAAACCAGGTCTAAACCAGGACTAAACCAGGACTAAACCAGGTCTAAACCAGGACTAAACCAGGTCTAAACCAGGAATAAACCAGAACTAAACCAGGACTAAACCAGAACTAAACCAGGTCTAAACCAGGTCTAAACCAGGAATAAACCAAAACTAAACTAGAACTAAACCAGGACTAAACCAGGACTAAACCAGAACTAAACCAGGACTAAACCAGGACTAAACCAGGTCTAAACCAGAACTAAACTAGAACTAAATCAGGTCTAAACCAGGAATAAACCAGGTCTAAACCAGAACTAAACCAGGACTAAACCAGGTCTAAACCGGAAGTAAACCAGGACTAAACCAGGTCTAAACTAGAACTAAACCAGGACTAAACCAGGTCTAAACTAGAACTAAACCAGAACTAAACCAGGACGAAACCAGGTCTAAACTAGAACTAAACCAGGACTAAACCAGGTATAAACCAGGACTAAACCAGGTCTAAACCAGAACTAAACCAGGACTAAACCAGGTCTAAACCAGAAGTAAACCAGGTCTAAACTAGAACTAAAGCAGAACTAAACCAGGACTAAACCAGGTCTAAACTAGAACTAAACCAGAACTAAACCAGGACTAAACCAGGTCTAAACCAGGAATAAACCAGAACTAAACCAGGACTAAACCAGATCTAAACCAGGACTAAACCAGGTCTAAACCAGGACTAAACCAGATCTAAACCAGGACTAAACCAGGTCTAAACCAGAACTAAACCAGGTCTAAACCAGGTCTAAACCAGGAATAAACCAAACTAAACTAGAACTAAACCAGGACTAAACCAGGACTAAACCAGAACTAAACCAGGACTAAACCAGGACTAAACCAGGTCTAAACCAGAACTAAACTAGAACTAAATCAGGTCTAAACCAGGAATAAACCAGGTCTAAACCAGAACTAAACCAGGACTAAACCAGGTCTAAACCGGAAGTAAACCAGGACTAAACCAGGTCTAAACTAGAACTAAACCAGGACTAAACCAGGTCTAAACTAGAACTAAACCAGAACTAAACCAGGACGAAACCAGGTCTAAACTAGAACTAAACCAGGACTAAACCAGGTATAAACCAGGACTAAA